ATTATTATTATTATTATTACTATTACTATTATTATTACTACTATTATTACTACTACTACTATTATTGTTACTATTGTTGTTGTTGTATTATTATTATTATCTATAATTTATATAATTAACCTCCATGTAGTTTGACTCCGGTCTTGCCGGGTTATTTATTACTTCGACACTCCTATAGTTGGGAGAAGGCATCAATCTTTTGGTCGTGTCAAGGATACCCTACAAAGTCTACCACTTAATGTACATGACCAAACTCTCATGCACGTGTAGGAAGAGAATAAAAGAAAAGGAAAGGAAAAAAACAAAAGAAAAGAAACAAAAGTTAGATAAAAGAAAAGTGAAAGAGAAAATAAAATAAATACTTAATTTATACAAAAATTTATCTTCCCGGTAACGGCGCCAGAAAATTGACATGAACAAAGAGTTGATGTCTTATCCTAAGTGTAGGAGTGTTGAAGTAATAAATAACCTGATAAATCTAGGGTCAAACTACATGCAGGTTAATTATATAAACTATAAATAAAAAATAGATAATAACAAAAAAAAAAGTTGAGAGCTTTGAGATGCGATATTGATATAAGGATATAAACAAATATAAAACAATTATCAAGGTAGAGGATTCACTAACGGTATTTCAAATAAGTATAATATAAACTTCTTTTATCATTCAACTGGAAATCACACACAAAGAAGGTTTCAATCAGATTATAATTTATTAACATTATTATATTAATTATATTATTTGAGTAATGTCAATACTTGTAAATGTTGGCAGGTATTTTTTATGATAACTTATGTTAACAACAAATCAAGTTCCTTTCATAATACAGGTGTTAGTTATACCATATAGTCGGGCTATGAAATTGTCAAGTATTAGTTGTACCAAGAGTTGTTTAATACAAATCTAGATTCATCATTTAACAAGGTATTAAGAGTGAGCAAGATAATAAATACAATAAATGTTAGTATCAAACATTAAAGTCTATATTGAGTTTATACTATACTTATTCTTACACCATTAGTGTAACATTTTCACCTTAACATAATAAACTTAGCTAAATATTATGAATAAAAGAAAGATAAATAAACTAAATAGAACATAGTTATAATGAAAAGCATAAACAAGAGATTAATGAAAGCAAAACTAAAACATTACAAAAATAAAAAGAAAGAAAGCAAGAATATGATCTTGATTTGAAAATCAAGATGCCTAAATGCATGGCAAATGTCTCTTTTTATAAGTCAAAATTTAGAACTATTTATTTGATGACTAATTGTTAAGTGGGTAGCCACCTCTTGACTTGGTAACAATCATTATTTTTTTATCTACCATATACATCATTGCTAACATCAAAATTTGAACATATTAATATATATAAAAGTTCTGGAAAATTGTATCAGCTTTCCAACAAAATAAGAATAAGGTCATTTGAACTTTTAGAACTCGAGATATAGACTGAACAATGAATAGTGTCTGAGCTGCAGGATAGATTCCGACTTCTTTATTGTTGCTACAATTTGAACTTGAAAATGGTCTTTTTAAATCTTGGACTCTTATGAAAGTTTTAGGCTTATGTCTTAGCTTTCTATGCATAAAAACCATACCTAAATCCAAGTTCTACATCCCCAGTTATGATCCAATAATCGAATGGTATTCCAATTTGAATTCAATCAACATATCTTTTATAAGCTTAGCCCTATTTTTGTCTTCTTAATTTCAGTAGTTGAACTCATCAATTAATCTTTAAACTTATGTGATAGGCATGCATTTAAAATAAATATTTATCATAAATTAAAGATATTTTATATTATCAAACTTGTTATTAAAAAACACACTCTAGTTTCAAGTGCAAAATGATAATATAAAACCTTGATAAAAATGCACTTTTAAGTATTAATAAGCGGCTCATACATTTTGCAAAAAAAAAGAACTATATATTTACATGTTATGGGTGATATAAGTTATGTATGTTAATCACTCAATTAGTCGTTTGACCACTTTTGTAAACACTTGTAATGAAAAATCAAAGTGGAATACGGATGTGTATGTGCGAACATGTAGATATGATGTGTATGAATATACATATGTGTGGTATTTTTCTTATAAGGATTTTATATTATGAAATTACATAAGGTCAGGATAACAAAAATACTAGTTGTATAACTTGTCGTTCGACACTCTTGTATGAACTCATGATGATAACGAGACCAAAACAGGAATGTAAATTTATAAGCATGTGAATATGATGTAATATAAACCTATGATTATGAAAATACAATATTATAGGCCTATGTATTGAGAATTTGTTTTATAAAAATATTGATTTACGTTATCCTACATTGGTTATGTCTTGTTAATGAATGGAATGCAATAATAAATTTGTAGAATGATATGGTGAAAAACATCTAGAATCGGACGGGGAAAAAATCCATCAATTTTGGGATTGAAAAAGCCAGTTGTTGCAATGGAGAAGCCACGTGCTAATGCGTGCCCACATTAAAAGCTTTTTTAATAATATTTATTTTTTAAAATTACCAAACAGCTCCTGGGTCAACCCCAAAATAATATTAAATAAAGAGATAAAAATACCCTTAGAACCATGCTTATTTTTTTAATTTTAAAAGCAATTATGTAACTTCATTGTTCTTAAAAAATAAAAAGGAGTTCTCTTGTGCAAGTTAAATGGTTTTTGGCTTTTAAGAATATCAATGTAATAAATTATTGTGCAAATAATATTGAAAAAACAAGAAACTCCTTGAACTAAAAATATATATATATAAAAAAAAATTTCTTTTAAATATGAAAAATCATTTTACTGTGCTAAAAAAATATGAGTGGATCAATTTATCCCCTATCAATCTTGTAATATCTAATATATTCTCTTAAAAAGATAATTTTACCTCAATTGCAGATTTTATTAGTTTTTTTAGGAAAAAAAATATTATTTCACTATTTCAATTGAGTAGTGAAATGTGTCTTCAGTCACAATTATGACTTTTAGTTTTTATACATAATTTAAATATAATGAGAAAACAATTTTTAAAAAAAATATATAATACAAGTTAATTTAAATATAATGAGAAAACAATTTTTTAAAAAAATATATAATACAAGTGGAGTACAAGAAACCGTATTTCTACTATACTGTGATGCAGATAGATTAAAGTCAGAAAATACCTACCTGAATTTTATTTTATGTTCCCGAATATGATATGGTTTATATGTTACCAGCGACAAATTAATGAGTTATCAAACATTGACTTGACTTCACAGCAGACTTCATCGGCAGAGAAAAATCTCCACATACATGACAATTTAAAGCACCATAATTAAGCTAACACGCAGGCCTTTAAACTGTCTTATATAACCTCCAAAGATTTGTTCAGCTAGTTAAGCAAATGGAAATGAGGCTTATCTCAAAAACTGTATGTTTTATACTTCTTCTTCTTTTAACAGTTCGTGTAAACGTTAAAAGCCGCTCTCTGGCACACAGCTCTGTTGAATTACTGGTTTCAGATGGCATCAATGATGTCCAAGAAAACCAATCCTCCATTCTACTTCTCAAAGGAATGGATACTTCCTCCGAAGAGAAGTGTGAGCAATTGTATGGCTTCTTGCCGTGCTCCAGTAATATTTTTGGGCATCTCTTTCTAATTGCAGTGTATGAATACATGTTGTTTCATGGAGAGGGCTACTTGGCCTCTGGAGGTGAAAAGATTTTCAGGATTCTTGGACCTGGTGTCTTCGGTGCCAGTGCATTCCAGGTTCTTGGAGCCCTTCCTGAGTCCTTGATACTTCTAGGTATGCTCTTTCATTTTCTAATTATCACCTTAATTCACTTGTTTTCTCTTATAAATTATACACAGTATCCTTCGGAAACAGCCTGATCGATCAACTATAAATTAAAGATGCTTTTCAGATGAGTTTAATTTGCAAACTTTCTATACTGGTTCCAGCTTGCTGGTAAATGCTATCATCAATATCTAATGAATTCGGAGTTTTCGAAGCTTGAATTAATTGCTGAAACAGTTCGGATCCTAATGGTTTGCGTCACAAACAAACTTATACGATAAAATCAATATGGTGGAGTTATCATTTGTCGTGCAGTCAATTTAGTTTATAAGTTATAATAAGTTGTGGTTTAATTGATATTATTAATGCATGTCTTTTCTTTATTATATTTTTAAAAAAAAATATTGAGTTGAACTCTAGTTCTGACCGGAAAAAAAAAAATTAGGTTGAAAAATGACATGCCTTCTCTAATTTGGAGCTCCTTTTTATTTGCATTTTAAATTTTTTTTTGAAAAAATTTAAAATTTTTTTATTTTTTTAATTTATTTCAAATTAATTTTTTTAATATTTTCAAATAATTTTGATATACTAATATAAAAAAAAATATTATTTTAATATATTTATCAGTAAAAAATATTTTTAAAAACAATCATTAACATACTCTCAAACCACTAAAATTTAAATTTAAAGTACATGTTTTTAATTAATATTTTTTTTATTAATTATTTTACTTAATTTTTCTATCCATATTAATTATATATATATATATATATATGTTTGTTTTGAATTCGGTATCTTCTTTTCTTCTTCTTTATAAAATATATTTTTATATAAGATTTGGGCAAGAGAAATATTGGAAACTTGTAGGATGAGAAATTGAAACGTGGGGGACACGTATTTCCACGTCATGGAAATATTTAAAAATACTTGATAGCTTTGTTCCAAGGAAACTTCGCTATGGTTTTGAGCAACCCAGCCAGCCGTGTTGGGTTCTTTTTTTATTCGATTTGATAGGAAAATAAAGATTCTATACTGAAATTAACTTATCACCCGCATAATGATCATTTTTATTTTATTTTTTTATTCTTGGAAAATTCTAATAAATAAATAACACTATTTTGTGCGAGAATGACTTTTGTGATAAAAAAATTTGAAAAGTTTGGCCGGAAAATTGAAAATTTAAACAAGGGCTATTAATTAAAAAAAAAAAACCCAATTATTAACAGGAAAAAAAACAAAGTCTTCTACCATGCCATAGATTCCCAGCTTAGTTTAATTAACACGTTTTGGATGAGTTGACAAAGTAGATGAAACTCTAATCCTTCATTAAAAAATAAATAAATAAATAAAACAATTCACGTATACCAAAAGCCTATATTGATAAATTAAAAAAAAAAAATAACTCATGCAGATGTATTTTAAACAAATCATTATAATAAATAAATGTAGGTAAACGTAAAAATGGTTAAACTCAGAGAATAAATGTATTTTAACTCTTTTATATTATAAATGTAAATATCCTCCTAAAATAAATGGCAGCATCTGGATTATTGTACACAAGAGAAGCTGCTCAAGAGGACGTGTCTACAGGAGTCGGACTCCTCGCAGGAACATCTATTTTGCTTCTAACAGTGCTCTGGGGCACCTGTGTTATCGTTGGCAGCATTCAGTCGTCACTGCCAACCATTTCCAATACTTCAAGCTCAAGATTATTCTCATGGTTGACTGGTGCGTGCGTCCTCTCTTTTATTCATTATTAAATTTTCAAAGAAGAGTCATTTTTAGAGATTAAAAAAATAATTGTTATTTGAGAATGAAAAATAAAATAACTCGTTTTTAAATAATAATTATTTTATTTTTTCACTGTAATTTAATTTTCAAAGGAGAGTCTTTTTATTTAAATGAAAACTATGTATTTCTTATTATTTAAAATGGAAAATAAATAATCAGAAAAAAAAAATAGATTGCCTGATGCATTTTACTGTTCTTGTTTTCTTTTGTAATCTTCATAGAGTTTGGAGTCACTACGGATCTGGAGACAAGCTACACAGCAAGGATTATGGGTCTTTCTGTCATACCATTTCTTATTTTGCAAATCCCAAAAATTTTCAACTCAAGTTCTGGGGAGTACTTGACGATATTGATCTCTCTCGTTGTTTCGGTGGTTTCTCTGTTGATATATTTCTTCTATCAGGTACCAAATGTGTCTCCTTTTTTTATAAATATTCTTTTCTTTAATTTTTAGTTTTGAATTTGTTGTTCATATCCATAAAATCGATTTGTTGGGGTAGTTTTTCTTACTTTTATAGGTATTTTCAAAGAAATATTCGCTGTAACTATATTATGCAATGTCATTTCATGTAGTCGTATTATTCATGATTAATTAATGACATTTAACCTAGCTCTATCAGCATATATATTATTACAATTTGATCATTTTTCTTTCTATTTAATTAAGATATATTTGACTCTATCATAAGTGTAATCTAATACTAATAATAAATAGAATTATCATAACCTATTTTTGGATCTCCGCGCAAAAAAAAAAGAAAATAGAATTATCATAACCTATTTTTGGATCTCCACGCAAAAAAAAAAAATTGAAAAGAAAAAAATAAATAAACATAAAATATAAAAAAATAAAAAATATTATAAAAAAATATAATAGTAAAAAAATGATGTCAAAATGTCCTAAAAATTGTTAAAAATTGGTTGAGGAGGTTCAAAATTATAAAGATTAAAATTTGATAGTATTTTGTTGATTGATGAGAGTCATGTTGATAAAGAAAATTCAATTTGAGGAAGAAAAGTTCAAAATTAGATGTTTATGGACTTATTTAAATTTTATTGAAGGTTTAATTAAGTTTATAGAGGGTTTGATTGCAAGAAAAAATGATTTTGAAGCCAATTTGAGCTCTAATTGGAAGAAATTAAAGTTTTGTGATCAAAATATAATTTTTGAAAGTTAATATGGTCAAATCAGGAGCTTAATTACATAAATACTGAAGTTTGATGGCCAGTTAGAAACTTAATTAAAAGAAATCTAAAACCACATCAAAATGAAAAACGTTAGTAAATAGAGGGGCTGTAATAAAACTGAATCAAGGGTCAAATTGAAAAAATTAAAAGTTTATTGCTTAATTGAGGGTCAAATTGCATTAATACGAGACCAAGTATCAAAGTGAAAAAGATTATTGCTCAATTGAAGGTCAAATTGCATTAATACGAGATCAAGTACCAAAGTGAAAAAAACTGCCAACTTTAGGGTCGCTGTTTGATTTTTAAAGGGATGCAATTGCATTGATTTTTAAATCAAAATTGCAATTTAGGACTCGATTGAACAAATCACAAATTGAGGACTAATTTATACTTTGACATAAGTTTGGCATCGTTTTTATTTAAATAAAACAACACGTTTTATCCAAAATGATATTGTTTCATACACTATTAATAAAAAAAACTCAAAACGGTGTCGTTTTGAAAGGCATTGTAGACTTTCTTCTTACTTGATGTGTAGAGAAACAGGAGAAGGGAGTTGCGTTCCCTTGTTTTTAACGCCTTCTCTTCCCCTTCAAAAATACACCGACTCTCTTTCAAAAAAACACCAACACCACCCCCACTTGACCAAAACTTTCCACATGTTAGAGGGGCGGTGGAGGGACAGCAATACAATGGTCGCCCCGACCTCTCTCTCCCCTATTTTTTACCTATAAAAGCAGGGGAAGAGAGAGTTGAGAAGAGAGTATAAAAAGAAAGGGTGAAAAGACTGAAAGGAAAAAAAAAAAAAAGACTTGAAAAAAGAAAGGGTGAAAAGACTGAAAGGATAAAAAAAGACTTTAAGAGGAAGAAAGAAGAGAAGAACAAAGGAAAAGGAAGAAGAAAAAAATAGAGGACGAGTTGCCACCAACGCCGCCGCTGCCTGGAACCACCATCACTGGCTACCGAAGCTTCTCCAGGTAAACCCTCCGCCCCTATTGCTTTCGTTTCTTCCCTCACCTTGCAGGACATGCACGGTGCACGTCTCTGCAAGTAAGGTGATGCTAGTTACTCTGCTCGTGCATAGTAACCAGCTAATGGATCTTAGTCTAAGTCCAGTCTAGCCCAATAATGGTGGGGCGGGTTCGACCTAGCATATATATATAACATTTTTTTTATTTCCCCACATTTTGTTTTATGCAACTTTGTTGAAACATCAGTCTGTATTTTATGTCGTAAAAATACAAAATCTAGTAGTAAAATACTCCATTTTCATCAAAACTTCCAAAATACCCAAAAGAATTGAAAACAAAAAATATATTTTTATGCATACAACCAAGTGTCTCAAAGCTAAAAAATCATATTGTGTTTTTCATACAAAAAAAATAATATTTTAGCATGTATTTTGGTTTTAATAACCGGTTTATTAACGTCAAGAGAATATTGACCAAAATTGGAAAAACAACAAAAATTTTAATTTGTTTATCTTTTAGTATCCAAGTTATGATATTACACGCAATACGTATTCCAAATGTTAAATTCTTCTTTTTTTTAGACGCTACAATAATTAGGTTTCACCCCATTAAGATAAGAACCTCCTTATTAAAAAGAGTTTTTCTTAAACCTTAAATAGACCAACAATTCAAAAACACCTTACGTCCTTAGATTTTTATCATACAATAAAACAATGTTGTTTATCTTAAGTAGGGCATATTTGAGGTGCTAATACCTTCCCTTTATACAACATCTCTGTATCCGATCTCTCAGACCAGTTAAGGTTTCTAATGATCAAAATACTAGGTGGCAACTCCCATTCCATTTTACTGATGAGACAAGAATTTCTTGTCTCTTATATATTTTGCCCGATAGACTATATATCTATTTATGATATAATTTTTAGGTTGGATGATCACCGCAACGGCTCACACATACAACAAGAATCATTGAATAAATAATTATTTTAGCTATATTGTATTGCATTAATGGAATATTGCAATGTCTCATGTTTGGTGTTGATTTACTTCTGTTTAAAAAAAAATTATTTGAAAGAGTGTTGATTTACTTCTGTTTAAAAAAAAAATATTTGAAAGAATAGTAAATTAATATTTTTTTAATTATTTTTTAATAATTTAGACAAATTAATATAAAGATGAAAAATCTAGAAAAAAAAATTATTTAACACATTTTTAATTAAAAAATACTCTTAGAAAAAAATATTATGCACCACAATATCAAACACACACTTAACCTATTCCCGTAACTTTGTTTTTAATTTGGTAGGTCCATATATTCTATAATGCTTTTTATTTGTTCCTTTCATATAATTTCCCTCCAATTTAATGTCATTTCTCGGCAATATTTAGAAAGAAAAAAAAAAGTGTTTTACACATGTTAAGGCTATGTCTCGAGAACTAACGGTAAATTGGATTGAAAATTTGATCGAAGGACTGCATTAAAAAAATTTCTTAAAAAGAACACCAACTAAATTGATAAAGAATGAAAGGATAGAGAAGCCATGTCAAGGGATATCAAAAGTGCATTCCAGTGCTTGGTTTAGTGGTGAAATTGCACTTGGGTTCGAGTCCTGACGTGCACGTTTGTCACCCCATGGTGTCTTACATGCTTATTGGGTTTGTAGGGTATTTAGTGGGCCGTGGGGATTAGTTATGGTGCGCACAAGCTGACCCGGACACCCCACATAAATCAAAAAAAAAAAAAAACGCACCAAATATAAGATTAACCCAACTATTTTCCCCGCATCCCACGTAAATCAAAAAAAAAAAAAGCGCACCAAATATAAGATTAACCCCAACTATTTTCCCGGGTCGAAAGTATTGCTAAAAGTAATGATAACCTTAGACTAAAATGAAAATGCAGTCACTAGGGGTAGGACCTCGGTTTTAAATATTGCGATTAATATTTATTGGTCGAACTCAGATATTTTGTCTGCATAATTTGTGCACAGATCTTCGAACCGTGGATCCAAAAGAGAAGACTGCAATATGTAAAATATGATGAAGCTCTTTTAAGAATTCTGCAACTTGTGCAAGAACGAGCTTTAGGGAGAATTCTGACAGTCGAGGGGGCTCCAAATATAAATGCTATACAGAGGTTAGTTCGATTTATGACACCTCATGCATCATTATACTTTATGCATGCTATGCATTTTTAAAGAAAAAAGAAAAGAAAAGAAAAGAAAAGAAGAAAAGGAAGACGTAAATTCTTTTTTGCAGACTATTTGATGAAATAGATGAAGATGGTGATGACAGTATATCGCCCTCTGAAGTGAGGGAACTTCTGCTCGACATAAAGTCTACAGGAATGAATATCAATAAAGACAATGCATCAGAAGAATTAATCAAAGTATTAGATCTGAATGATGATAAGAAAATAACCAAGGAAGAATTTGTCCATACTTTTACAAAATGGCTTGAAGAGACAAAGTATGCTATGGACAAGCGATACTTCACAATTAACTCCTTGAAGAGGATTTATCAGGTATATAGTGCATGTGTTAAGTAAGTAGAAGGAATTATTCCTTCTATCATGGATGGCATGAAATTATTGCTGGTTTTAAATCTTGAGTTGTATCTTTTATTTGATTTATTCCAACATCTTTAAATGTTTTGCTTAGGTTTTTCATCCGTTCGTAGAAAGTAAAAGAAAAGAACATGAGATGAAGAGAAATCTCATATCAGAAATCGTGAGCCATCTACAAAGCGATGCTTTAGGGAACCTAATCAAAGAAGATGGTACTCCGGATTTCCTTACTATTAGAAGGTTAGGCCACCATGTCCCGGCCCCCTCATATAGTAGCATGCATCATCCCAAGAAGTGAATCTGTTCTTATGAGTTGCTCGAGAATATATCACCTAATTGTATTTTTGTAATAGGTTGTTTGAAGAAATTGATCGTGATGAAGATAATTGCATATCAAAAGATGAGTTAACAGAACTAATGAAAAAGATTGAGATTGGTAAGATCTGTTGGGATGTAGATGAAGCAGCTGAAAAAATCATGGAAGCACTTGACACGAGCGGAGATCAAATGATCGATGAGAAGGAGTTCGCCGAGGGAATTGTCAGATGGTTGATTAACACGTCCGAAAATGTAACTCCTGGATCAACTCGGTCCCGAGATGATAACAATCGAGTAAGTCCAATATTCTTTTTGTTGGGAAATATCATCAATATCTTAAGAATTCGACTGCTCTATATCATTTTCATTTTTTTCTAAATCACAAGATTCGACTGCTCTATATCATTTTCATTTTTATTTTTTTCTAAATCACAAAAACACATCAATTTTATTACGGTTTTCAATAAGAATTTATTTGATGACACAGGAAATATTCCTAATATTAAATACCAGAGATATTTTCGCTGAAGTCGTGATCTATTAAGAAAAGAAAATATTTTCGCTGAAGTCGTGATCTATTAATTAAGAAAAGATATGCAGTAATCATGATGACAAATACAAAAAATAAAAGTATTCTGAATAAATCAAAAAAATATGTAAACGGAGCTGCTTTGTTAATTAACTGTGATTTAGGCAGCAATAAGGTATAAAAATGGATTAATGTGTAGGGAACCTGGGAAGAAGTGGATAAGTTATTGAAGGATGAAAAAACCAATGCCGTTGACAAATCATCATGGGCTTGGTTTAAGGCTATAATGTCTATGGTGCTTGGAGCTGCTATATTATCAGTGCTAGCAGAACCGCTGATACACAGTGTTCAGAATTTCTCCGAGGATGCAGGGATACCATCTTTTTTTGTCTCCTTTGTGTTAGCTCCACTCGCAACCAACGCAAGAGCAGCCACTTCAGCTATCACGACTGCCTGTCGTAAGAAGTCTATAACCACTTCCTTGACATTTTCTGAGGTTTGTCGTTGGACTCGCCTTAATTTTTCTCTTCTTTTTCTGTCGTTGGACTCGCCTTAATTTTTCTCTTTTTTTTTTCATTTTGAGGTCTAATAAAGAGGAAATGTAAACATTTTTAATTGATTTTTAGATAGTCCATGTAAAAAAAAACTTAATTAATGAGAGTGAAATGTAATAGAAAGAAATAAAATACAATATATTGAATGGAAGTGAAGGGGAGAATGAAATAAAATACAACTTACAAGAGGAGATAGAATAAGTTGAAGTTGAATGGAGAAGAGTTGGAAGGAGAGAGGTAGATGAAGAAAATGTGAGAAAGTGAGACCCGAGAAGAATGAGAAAAGGTGTTAAGTAATGGAGATAAATGGGTAGAAATATATTGTATATAAAAGAGAAAACAAAAAAATTGGTGAAATTTTGAAAAAAGAAGGGAGTTAGAATTTTTAAAATTGGAGTAGTTTAAGGTATTTCTATGATATATCATTTCGGTGAAGCCTTAATTTCACAAATTTGAAGTCGTGATCTAATTTTTAAAATTGGTGTTAAGATATTTTCACTGAAATCCTGATCTAATTGATATAAAATTCTTATTTTATCCTGATTAAAGAATTGTTATTCAATAATAGGTTTATTTTTACTTTCACTTCTATTTTATATATTTTTAAATTTATTTTTTAATATTTTAGATAGTATATTTAAATTAAAACTTTACTGTTAATTTCAAAAATTAATATAGATTAATTAATAATTAATTTTAAAAAAAAAATTATATATTTATTTAATAGTATAAGACAAGAAAAATTCTTGACTCCATGCTTGAATGTACTGAATTACATTAGGTATAAAATAAGAGTTTTTTTTCATAATTGATAAATATTTTTAAAAAATAATATAAAATTATTCTTGAAATTTTAATTTACAACTTAAATTTTTAAATTAAAATGATTGTTTGATATACATGAGTATTAGCACAAGTAATATATAACCTGATTTGATCAATGTGCAGATTTATGGTGGGGTGTTCATGAACAATGTTCTTGGCTGTTCTGTTCTTCTATTTCTAATTTATGCTCGTGGATTGACATGGGAATTCTCTGCTGAAGTACTGGTTGTGCTAATCACCTGTGCTATAATGAGTCTCGCCGGAAGCTTTCGCTCCGATTTCCCATTATGGACATCATTCATGGCGTTCCTCTTGTATCCATTTTCTCTGTTACTTGTTTATGTTCTCAACGATGTTCTTGATTATGTTTAGATCAAGTCAGCAAATTTTTAAAAAGACTCTTGGATTTCACATTGACCACAAGTTTAATTATATTGGTCCTATTACCTAAAAGTTGGGCATAACTGCCCAATTTTATTTGGGCTGGATGGGCCTGAGGCTGAGGCCCATCCAGAAATCAAAAGTTCCTGTCTTTTTTTTTAAGCTGGATCTAACCCAGATAGCCCAAGCCTCCAGCCGGATCGCTTGCCCAGACCAGTGAGCGAGTTGGCCATAGCGGCAGGCATGCGTGAATTATGAGGTATGCTTGCAACAGTGACAAAATAATTAAAATTGCAAGCGGGGGAAGAAGAATGACTTACCTGGTTAGCTGTTGCTGAAGGCGAAGCTGAGGGCATTCTGAAGGAATGCAAAAGTCTTCTCTTCTGTTTTTGCTCTTGTGGGTTTCCTCTGTGTCTTCGTCTCTCTGTTTTTGTTTTTGCTATGATTTCTTCATGGAAAGCTCTGGTCCTGGAGAGAGCAGAGATTGGCAAAAATGGCTTCTCCTTTTTCTTTGCGAAAGATATGTTTTTTTTCTTCTGTGTTTTTTTTTTTTGGATCCTCGTAATTGACCCCCGATCCTCACTCTCTTTTTGTTGTTTTCTGTTCTTCCCTCTCTAGCTTTGGGTTTTTTTTTTTTTCGTCCTCTTAGTTCTGTTTTTTTGTCTGGCTTTTATAGTGCCGAATCTTCAATTCTCATCCACGAAGTTCGTCCCTTATCTCCCCAGGGTGACAATCTCGTGGATGAGGATAAACATGGCTCGGGTTTGGTCCATGTTTGATTGATTCAAAACACCATCAGTCCTGCCATTGTTACTATTGGCGATGCTTATCCTTGTGTCAGGGGAGAGTTACAAGGGTGAGGGATACCGAACCAAATCCAAATCCTATGGTTTCTGTGGTAGACAAGGTGGCCTTAGATTTGGTTTGGGTTTGATGGGGAGATTTGGTTTAACATAAGCCATCTGAATGGCCTCATAGGGTGATCTCTCCTGCTCCGGAGGAAGGAGACGATGGATAGGTTTGAGAACGACGCTGTTTTAGGTTGGAAAAGGCCATTTTTTATTTTCCCGCCTGAAGTTTTGACATTTAGCAATCGGGTACTTATTCATGAAATTTTTATTTTTTTAATTTTACTCTTATATCAATTGCAATTAAACCCCTAGATTTCAACAGCATTTATGAAATAGTTCTTGGTTACATTCAGTTCTTAATTAACTCCTCAACTTCTATTTTTTAAAAAAAAAAATTTACTTCTAAAAAAATCATTTAACCCTTTTATGGTATTAACATCTATTCACTTTGGTCCCTAAAATTTAATATTTTTCATTTTAATTTATGTTATCTTGACTTAATTCTCAAATTATTTCTCATTTTATTTTTTATTAATATTTTTTAAAGTAAAAATTAGATTACAACAAGAAAAAAAAGCACATGTATTATAAATGCATTTTGAAATTATTATAAATAATTTTAAATGCGAAACAGAACGATTTTATTTATGCTTATTTAAATAAATTGATAAGATTAATTAAATGGTAAATAGAAAAGGAGGTATTAATACTAATTAAATAATAAAATGGAAAGTTAATCTTCCTAGTGAAATAAAAAGATAAATACAAATGCAAATATTTTATGTTGCCTATTTATTTTATTTTATATATTTTTAGTTAGTTCATGTTAGAGTTTAATTATGGTTACTAATATCAACCGGTTGTTTTGTTTTTATAAATGCATCCTCAAAAACAACTCATTTATATAAAACATTAGAAAAAAAATAAAAATAAAAGATCAGTTACAATTTTTGAAGAAAAAAAAAAGTTAGGCCAAACAAGTTAAAAGTTAAGAGAGGGGTATTAATCAAATAGAAAAAACAATGAAAAAAAAAAAGGTCCGGCCCACACATCTGACTAATTATCAAAGATCTCATGCATGTTTGTGCTTAAAAACCCTAGTATGTGTTTGCGCCCGAGAGTCTAGGTCCACGCTTGCATATGAGAGTCTGAACTTCTACTTGATTTATTTTATTTTATTTTTCTCATAAGTCATCTCTCTGCCCTCAAAATTTAATACATGAAATATAATACAAATAAAGTTTGGAATTGAAATAAAATATTCAAAAAAAAAAGGCACCAAATGAGATAGAAAGTGAAAAGTGGGAACACAGCTCTTATGAATAGAAAATTATGGGAGGATGAGCAGGGGAGGGCAAACAGGGGATCGGTCTGTAAAATATTTTAAATTTTTTTATTTTTTAATATTTTTTTAATTTAAATAAATAAGTTTTTCAATAATATATATTATTATATTAATTTTAACCTTCCCTTCCCTGTAAAATACACTTGACTCCGCCCCTGCATGACGAGATCTTCGGCAATGAGACCTATATGTTGTCTCCATGACTTTTTCTCTTATGTGGAGAAGGATTGTCAACTCAAATTAACAAAGCTTCGAAGGATTATCAAATTTGTTGCTTGAATATCCATTGCAACCTTGGATAAATCTGAGCTCTCTTTTAGCCGATTAGTGTTCAAAAAGATTAATTTTTTTTAATTTACCTTTATTCTAATTATAAATTTTATGAATTAACTTAGTTGATTAGAGATATTTTAGTTTATTTTTTATAATTAATTTTTATAATTTTATTTTTTAATATTTAAATTAATTAAAAATTAAATTTTATAATTTTATAATTTTTTTTCTAAAATGTTATTTCATTCTTATAATTTAAGTTAAAGATTTGACGGGTTGATTTGAGTCTTTTTATTTTTTTATTGAATTGATTAAAAATTAAATTAAATAATTTTTTTAATTTATTTTTTATTGAATTATTTTTGTCTAGCAATCCAAATTTGATATATTAATTTAAATTAACTTGGATTTTTTAATTAATTTTTTAATATTAAATTGATTAAGAATTAAATTTTAAAATATTTTTTATTTATTTTTTATGAAATTATTAAAATTTTATAATTTAGATAATAAATTTTATAAGTTAATATAACTTGATCTAATCTTTTAAAAAAATATTATTTATAATATAATGTAGTTTTAATATTAAAAAAAAACATATTACTTTATATTTTTTTAATTAAACTATATTTTTTACTTTTAATATTTAATTTATTAAATCGATAAAATCATGCACTTTAATATTTGTTTTCTTTCTCGGAAATACGATAACAATCTCAGGATATTTTCTTATCAGACAGACCCTTCAACCCAAAAGATTAACCTCTCATCTCTACAAGACTAGCATGTTCCCCGCAAAACCCGCCTCGATATCCGTACTTTTCACCTGTTTTCACCAACTTTCATCAGCGGTGTCGTCACTATCAATGCAGACCCACCTTCCGAAAGTACATAGTATGCCCAGAACAAGAGAGAAGGAAGAATCTTAATTCATCGAACTCTCCTCTCGTTAACTCAGGCCATCTCCATCAACTCGCCAGCAATTCATCATTAACTCATCAAATAGGAAAAAACTAGAAAGAAAGAAAGATGAATCGTAATAGCCCAAAATAAAGCTCATGAAAAACAATTAAAAAATGTGCAAAATCTTGAAACTTGGGCTAAACATGCACCTGGCCCAAGTCCAAGAATGTTGGCCTCTTATCTCTTTTTTCTTTTCTTTCATATTTCCGAGAGGATAAAATGAAAATAAAATATTATTATTTTAATATATTTTTAAATAAAAATACTTTAGAAAACAATATATTTCTCTGTTACCGGAAAGCACTACACTTACCTCTTATTTGCTTTTCCGTCGACATCTCAGAAACAAACAATTGGCGAGAGGATGAGTGGGTTGGTGGGCGGGCTGATGTCGGCAAGATGCCACGCATGCATCCACAGGTTACAAGCACGAAATCTGCGTTTGACTCGTGGCAATAAGAGGTAACGACACCTGTCATCTAGGCAACTTGCCGACTAAGTGATCATCTCCCATCAACCTAGCTGCCGGCTACGACTTCCCCTCCACCAAAAAGAAAATACAAGTGGCACCACTGCCCACGTCCTCTTTAATTTAGATTTGGCTTCCGCTATAAAGGAACGCGGTGCCTTCCAAACAGACAGACTTTAAAGGTGACATGGATTTGACTTTTCTGACAAATGACAGTTTCAGTAACTGTTACGTATTTGTCATGGGGTCATCGATATTCACGGCGTAACCTTTTTTTATTTATTTTAATTAAATTTAATTTAAGTTTAAGTTTAAGTTTAATTAACAAATAAATAAAATTTAATTCATTTTATTTTTTATATTATGTATACCACCTTTATTTTATCCTTTAAATATATATTTTTAAAAATAATAAGTGAATGATTATTGAAAACAACTAGTTTTAATTTTTATTTCTCATCTGTGTTTGACTCTATTTTTTTATTTTTTATTTTTAAATACTAAATCTGATAGTTGAAATTTGTTCTTAAACACTTGAAATAATTTTAAATATAAAATCTTATTAAAGTACACAAAATGTCGACAGCTACTAGATTATCCACTCCCAAGGCAAGTCGGCAACCAAAAAGCTGTGGTCCCCCCCTACAATTCTATGTGTAACTGAAAAGCTAAAAAGCGCGGATAACTACTATTCATCGACGCTCATTATTCTTGGAATTCCAATAATAATTCACAGTATATTATTTTTTAACATTTATTTTTATAAAGTCGGATCTTATAATTTATCTTTTCATCTTGTCTTTTTATACAGTTAAAATAATTTACAACATTGTTAGGGTTGTTCCAATTTATAAATTCGGTTGAGGTTTTTTTAATCAAATTTAATTTTTATTTTTATTTTTTTTATGTTCTTAAAAAAATAGTTTTATAAAAAACCTTATTATTAAACTTTATAAAATTTATAAGTTTTGTTGATTGACAGGGTTTGTGGGGTTAGCAAGTTGAATTTTTTTTTTCAATTCTGTCTATAAATATTAAGTTGATTAGAAATTTAGTTTTATAATTATAAGGTTATCACGATCTTAAAAATAATTTAGTATTGGGTGATGATTGATTTTTCAATTATTTATTTTTGTTGTCATATAATTAAATAAAATATATTTTTAAAAAATAAATTACAATCCTAGTTAAATTTATAACTCGATTCATGGATTTCACATGCTACCTCAAGTTACTCAATTCATAAGTTTGACAGGTTTACCCATTGACTAAATATATTTTTTTCCCTTTATTTTTTTAATTATTACTTTTTTTTTTCATACTTAAATATTTTGATTATGAAATAGACTACATGATTTATTTTTGTTTGTTTTATATAGAGTTATCACAGTCTCAAATAAAAATTTATTTTGAGGGTGATGTTATATTTTGCGAGTATTTATTTTTATTATATAATTAAATAAAAAAGTTAATAAAAAAATTATTAAACCCAATAGAGTGTATGATTGAAGTTGTAGGGGACTGGGGTTGATCTACTTTGTCATTATCTCAATATTTTTAAAAAAAGTTATTATCTTCAAGATTTTTTAAAAGTTAAGTCATGTTTTTACCAGTCATTCAGATTACCTTTGGATCTATAAAATCAATCAATTTAAGTCAAGCTAGCTACTATCACGTTGTTTAATTGAAAAATTGAGTTAAGCAAATAGTTAGGACGAAAGGTTTTGAGATTAACCTATTTGGCTAGGTTTAATAACACTATAAAAAAAAAACTCTTTGTGCTCTTAACATTTTTTTTTACATTTAAAAAAATTTGATTTGACTGTGGTGAAGTATCAGCCAATAAACGAGGATAAAAGCTAAAAGAATTGTGGTTTTTAAACAATATCAACTATTCATTTTTACAATAAATCTTTTTATACTTCGGTCATTAATTTTTATTTTTTATTTTTTTTATTTTTTAAATTTATATTAGCATAGTTTTATTTGTTAAAGTTTATTTTTCTTCACATACTCTTACATATATAAAGTATATATTAAAAAAAATCTAGCATTAAATTAAAATCAATGAGACAAAATACAATTTTAGATTATTGTTAAAAAATAAAAGAAAAAAAATTAAATTTAACACAAAAAAACATAACTTTTTTTCATTTTTAGCAAGGTAAACTTCTATGTATTATTTAGTTTTTTATATTTCAGCTTGAAATTTTA